TGAGTAACCCGACATTATAAGCATGAAAGGTATGCTCAAATCTCATGCTATGATCTCCCAAGGCATACTCAGCCTGTTTTCATCTACCTTTAATCTAAATGCCAGTTAGAGAACTATGTGTTGTGAAAGCTGCGGAGGAAGCAGATTAAACCTACATGCTTATGGATTCAATCAACCCTTGTTTCTCAAGTTCATTAGGGTTTGTTAGTACTACTCAGGTTTTGACCAGCTGGTTTTATTAATTTATTTAAGGGTATTTTTGTTTTTTGTGAAAAATACTTCAGAGAAAGGGAAGGTGGAGGAGGAGCAGTAGAAGGAGAAAAGGACAAGTGAAAGGATAATGGGGCCCACCAGTCTCCTAAAATAACAGTTTGCTTTCCTTGTGGCGCTGTGCCGTCAGCTCAACGCATGAGCTGTGCGAGTTGTGTGTGTCATTGCATGCAAGCCTGTGTGGCAGTCTGGCAGACTGCACAAGAGTGCTGCAAACATTTTACAGAAATTACTGTGAAAATGAAGAAATGAACATGATACATCCAATCATGAGACTCTTGTGTCTGTTTGTTCTGCTCTAGAGACTGTATGCATACATACATACAGTAGTAGTGGTAGATGGATAATTTTTTATTTCATTGTTATATTTTATTTTTGTCACTGTAGTTCTAGTCATTTATTGTATTTGTCACTCTGATTCTAGTCTTTTTGTCACACTGCTTTTTATTTTGTTTTGTTTTATTTTATTTTTGGATGTACAACGGTTCTCGGGGATGTACAATGGCCTCTAGGTATGTGAAGAGCAGTGCTAAGGTAAAGGTCAGATGTCAGTTGCTGAATGGAAAGGTTTCACAGACTCAGGGTTCTGGGTTTATAGCTCAGCTGGGCCTCTTTGGCCCCGGCTAGCAGATGAGGTGACACCTCAGTGAATTATCGTCTTTTACATCCTCTGTTAGATTCAAGAGGCAGTCCTCAGTTTTCGCTTCCAGCAGCAAGCCTGGCCCCTTCACACAAGGCTGTCTCTCATCCCACCACTTCCCTCAGCCTCGGCGAACAAGCGGCCAATTGTTGCGGCCTATCCTTGAAGGAATTTTTCAATTTAACATTTTATCATCTTTTGGAATAGACACCTTATTAATCAGAAATTATTTTGAAGAAGAGGAAACCTCAAGGATTTTACTGGCAGAACAGCCTTCACAATGGAAATCCATGGACACATCAGCTGGAGAACAATACGATATTTCAAACAAAGAGATAAAAAGGCTACAAAGTATGTGACATATTAGGCCAGCATTTCTGTAAACACAGCTATTAAGCTATCACAACCCATATCCATCTCATTGTAAGTTTCCACTGTAAGTTGTACAAATCCTAAAATAAATGCAGGCTTCAGTTTCAATGGAAATCCTAATTATAGCTTTTGGTGGGTGAGAGGCCGAGGCTTAGCATAGGCCCCATTAGCTGCTGAAGCAGGAGGGATCCTGGCATCAAAGCAGCTCAGCATGGGCCCCTCAACTGAACTAATCTCAGCCTAACCGCCCAGCACTTTAACCTGTCGCCTGAAACCACGACTGCATCAGGACCACTCTTCACAGCCGACAGCTGACTGAATTAACTCTGTTGGCCTTCATTTAGTCATTTAAACCTATTTCTCTCTCTTTTTGCTATCTCTTTCTTTTGTTTTCCATCCATCTCTCTCTCAGAGTCTTCCCCTCAGCTCTCTGGGACTGCGGCTTGGCGGCTCTTAAAAGGTCATTAATTATTTCTGGTTAGCTGAAGGGTTTTGTCTCTGTGTGTGGCCGTCTGTTGGACTGTCTGTCTGTCTCTCTTTCTTCGTCTATTTCATGTACGATGGTGTGTTTCACAGTGATTCTGTCTGTTTATAGTTCTGACACATTCAGAAGCCAACTTTCCTATCCATCTATTCTAACGTGCTGTCTCCAATCTTACCATCTTTTTTCTTTCTTATTGTCACTTTCTGTGTGTTTTATGACCTCAACTGACGGGTCAGGTTTTGGCTGGTTAAAGTATAATATATTGTATTATTACATAATCTTTATTCATATATTAAACAGAGTTTATCTTTTTTAATTAAATATATATTTGCATTTATATACATTTTTATTTATATTTCTGATTTAGTGCCCAAGAAACATTTCTTATTATTTGAAAATAATAGTCTTCAATCAGTTTCTTCCTTATTATTTGTGTGAACACATTTTCTTTCAGGATTATTTAATAAGTACTTTAGTACAGCATTTATTTATAATTAAAATCTTTTGTATCTTTACTGTCACATTCAATTAATTTAATGCATTTTTGTTGAATAAAATAATTTCTTTATAAAAATAAATGTATTGACCCCATACTTTTGAACAGTAGTGTGTGTGTGTGTGTGTGTATACAGTTTATTTTTTTTCCCTTATCTGTTGCATTTGTTACAACTCAGTCACTAGTGAGGGATTCTGGACTACATACATGCTCTTGTAGTGTCATCAGCCAATCAGCGTCTTCCAAGCATTGTGTAGTAAAGACAAGATTTGACAAGATCCGACTGGGTTTCTGCTGGTCAGTACTGGTAGTCCTCACCATGCAAGAATACCAGATAAAAGATGTTTTATTCCAGGCTGATCGTCCTGCATTTCCAGTCCAGAGTCACATTCTGTTCTCATCACTGCAGTTAGAGATGTTTGTCTGAGACGGCATCATCAGGGAAAGCTCTGATCGTGACTGGGCCTAAAGGAGGTCACTATCTGGTTAATCTGTTTACTCTTGTTTTGCCATGTCAATCTCACCTGATGCACTGCATAAACATTGAGCATGAGAAGTGGGCAAAAGGTAATGAAGGATGGATGGAAAGTCAAACAGAATGGAGAGAGGAATGGTGATACAATGGGAGAGTGGATGGCCCACATTATTGCACAGAGAAGGAATCAGATTTTTGCTGTCCTGATGTCCACAAACATTTATAGTGTCTTTAGCTGGGTTTGCACCTCTCTTTTGAAGTGAACCAACTGCTGCCAAATAACGTGCAGATTTATGTCTCTGCTTATGCAAATCACACAAAACTAACCATTTAACATCAATGGAAAGAACAGAATGTAGGGTAAAATGGGACATGATATGCTCTGTTTTCCAAAGGACAATTTTATTGGTTTTTGCTGAGGCTAGGGATTGTTAGGGCTTTGGAGTCATTTTCCCATGCTTTAATTTTTAATATAAATAGACACTACTACTGTGAGAAAGGGGGTTTCTCACCAAGGCTGCATTTGTTTTATCTAAAATACAGAAAAATGTGTAATGCTGTTGAACATTATTGCAGTTTAAAATAACTGTTTTTTAGTTTAATATATTTAAAAATGTAATTTCTTCCTGTCATGGCAAAGCTGACATTTCAGCAGCCATTACTCCAGTCTTCAGTGTCACATGATCCTTCAGAAATGATTGCGCTACTTCCGGATATGGTGATGTCACAATGGCGCTCGTTTAAATAATCGCTGTGCTAGAGAAGGTGAAGAAGAAGTAGCGTGTTGTCGCCACGTTGCGTGACATTTCTGGAACAAGCTCCAAGCGGTTCCCCAATCACAATCCACTGGGCCAGCTAACCAATCAGAACACATTTCGTATTTCAGAAAGAGGGGTTTCATCAAAACAGGGACTAAACGGTGTGTTTGAGACCGACTGGGAAGAGAGGTGCTGCAATCATGTAGAATATGAGAAACATAATGTGTTTTTGGAACAATCAAGTATGAAAACCTCCACTTTGTATTCTAATACACCCCAAAAACTAAAGTAAAACTTTGTAAAAGGGCATAATAGAACCCTTTTAATTTTTTTTGTAAACTGTGATCTATTTTTTTCTGGATTCTTTGATGAATAGAAAGCCCAAAATAACAGCATTTATTTGAAATAAAAATCTTTTGTAATGTTACAAAAATCCTCACTGCCAATACCTCCTTGCTGAATAAAAGTATGCATTACTTTATGTAAAACCTGTATGACTTTCTTTCTTGTATGGAACACAGATGATGATATTTTTTTGTTCATACAGTAAAAGTCAGTGCAGTCCAAAACAACATTGGACCCCATTGACTTTTATTGTGTGGACCAAAAAAATTAATTAGATCATCTTCTGTGCTCAAGAAAAGAAAGTAAGTCTTAAAGGCTGAGAATATGATAAAATTCTATCTTAATTTTTTGGGTGAACTATCCACAACTTTTGTTTCCATTTTCAGTCCTTATGATGCATAGCGCTTTTTTTTTGGTATACCTTCTGGTGAATCATATGCAAGGGTCTGATGAAGTCAGAAATGTTATTTTTTTCTCCCATGGTTTTTTTCCCCCCTCTCTCTCTCTGCATTCTGGTCCTGCGGGCTCTGCCACATGTTATGCTTCTCTTACAGTGGTGGTACTGTTTTCGTGTGTGTTTGTTACAAATGGATAGCCTTGTATCCAAAATGAAGAAATTGTGTGTCTTTTCCTTCACTTCACCCTTCATTGATGACTCCGTCACCTTTTCATTCCCCAAACTCTTTCCTCTCTCCTCCATTAGACCACAGTCACGCAGCACTAAACTGACAGATCATTACCAGCATTGTTTGTGGTGAAATCACTCGAGCGCCCTACATGTTTCAAAACTCAAACTCTGGGGGGTGGGAGTCCACTTTTGCATCAGTTACACACTCTTCTTATTTAAGAGATCTTCCCTCGGGCTGTCCAGCTCACAATGACACTGCTGTGCTCTACGGTTGGCTTCAGTTGCCTGTTGAGTCACCGCGATGCAACTCTGCATCTTCCATCCATTTACGCTTTAGCTCAGTCACTCAGACGTCACAAAGCAACCAAAGATTGTGAAATCATCTCAGATAGATGTACACGTCTACCTTACTCACAGAACAAAACCAGGACGCCCAAAGAGGTTGCATTTGCAAGATCATATGACATTATTTTGCAGCATTCTTTTACTGTTTGATCACCATATATTTCTTTTTCTTTCTGTCTCCTAACAGAAAGGCAGTCCAGGAAAGTTCTCCATGAATGTACGTCACAATGATGATGACAGACCAGATTCCGCTGGACCTGCCGCCACCACTATTGAATGGGGAGGTGGCCATGATGCCGCACATGATTAATGTTAATGGGGATGGATCGCAACAGGTGAGCGTTACTCTGGGCGGTGCATGAATTGATGATGTATACCTTGAATGCTACATATTCTTAGAGCAGGAATTTTTAATTTGTTGCTAAGGACCTCTAAAAAGATTATCCCCTTCCAATCATGGAAAAAGTATGTAGAAAGACCATATAAAAGCTAATTGCCACGTTAAGTAATTAGCTTTTTATATGGTCATTGCACAATATTTTTTTTGGAAGCTTTGAAACAAATGAAGAATTAACATTTTTTACAAAACTATATGCAGGGGTTTTATTTTTTAGTGTTAAATGTTTTGGCCATCAATGGAATAATTTGTTAATTTAATGCTTTTTAAATTTTTTCTAGGAATTTCCTAGAGAAAAGATACAGCAAAATATGTAAAACAATATTTCAGGGACTTTTGGCTGTAAAATTACAATATTAAACCTAGTTCTTCAGTTTTGCATATTGAGAATGATTTAAAGGGGTCATACGATGCAATTTCAATTTTTCCTTTCTCTTTGGAGTGTTACAAGCTCTTGATGCATAAAGAAGATCTGTAAAGTTGCAAAGACTGGTCGCCACATGTGGTTGCCGCAAGCCTCCTTCGTTGAATCCACCCTCCGGCCGTTCCTCATGCTAGCCCCCGGCCTCTGCTCACTCTAGGCCGCCGTGTGTGATACTGTGTTTCGTTGTGAAAGCGAAACTACATTGTTTCTCCGATCACAAATGCAGACATGGTTTTATGTTTACGCGGCGCGATGCACCGCGTAAAAAGACAGTATAAGTCATAATAATCCATAATTATGTCCCCACTGTTGCTGCAACAAATGCAAATAATGTTCTTTTTAGCAACATCATATGACCCCTTTAATATAAACATGCTGACTCAACCAATTGCATGAGTTTGGGCTGGGACTATCTGACCAATGCAGTTGTTCAGGAAACCTGTTAAAAGACAGTCTTGTACTTCCTGTTCCATTTGGTGCACAAAATACACTCTTCAAATTTTAAAAAGGGTAACACAAATAAAAGGTCATTTGAAGTTCAAGACCATTTTTCTATGGGTTCATTCTGTGCTGAAGGAAGAGTTCACAAGTTCTTTGAGAGTTAAAAGTGAAAGGTTGACTAGCTTTGTGGCTGCAAGTCAGCCGTTACCTTAAATTCAACTGACATAGGCTCTTGCTCACTAATTCCTGGTGGAACTTCACATTTCCCTTGCACATCTCTCTGTAGATCTGCGCTATCAGAGCAGATCAGTCTGTTGTGATCTCTTCTCCAGGTGCTGCAGATACAGTGCCCCGGCCGTGTTTCCTCCGGCCAGGGCGGAAAAAGAATCAGACCCTTGAGAGATAAGGAAAAGGGCATCTGTAGCAGATAGTGAAGGTTAAGTGCTTTGGATTCAGCCAGGTCTACGCTTCCCTGCATCACTGAAAAGAAAAACAGATCGCACAACCTGACCAAGTTGTCAATCCCCAGCATTCTTGATTAATTGTTGCATTCGATGTCAGCCTGGTATGCAAAGGTGCAATGCTTGCGTAAGGATGTGGAAGTGTGCATTTGCATTCTGCCAGTGTTACGCGTCTATGTGGGGTGAGTCCTTTATCTGCATTAGGTGTGTGCCTGGACGAGGAGGGAGGGTAGAACACAAGGTTTTCCTCTGGAAAGCCGGCTTGACTCTTCAGTGCATGCCGCCGTTCCCATAGCAACTGCAGCAGCAGCAGACAGTGTGTGTGTGGAAGCAGGAAGTAGGTGCCCAGATCTCCAGGGCTGGAGCGGGGAGATGGGAGGTCCGCCTGACACACGACCATCAGGGCTGTAAAGAAACATAGGGCTCATGCGACATGGCGGGCCAACTTTTTCACATCTACAGGCACGTTTGCTCTCTCAACAACCTGTGCGCTGAGAACATGATGGTAAGCAGCCTGGAGCAGAAGAGGGCATGGCGAGTGGACCGTTTCGAGGGGGTTTCACATCTGGTTTCACAACATCTGGTTGCATCATATTTGCTTTCTTGGCAGTTGTGGTCACTATAGTTCGCTAATGTTCCACGGCTCATTTTAAAGTTATGGATTAGTGCATTTTAAGGCTTTGCAACTTTTTTTCCTGTCTTGGATTGTGGTTATGGACAAAGCTCTGGCATTGCATCTGTCTGATTCCCAGTGTTTTCGCAGGTGATCCTCGTGCAAGTCAACCCTGGAGAGACCTTCACCATCAGAGCAGAGGATGGATCCCTGCAATGCATTCAAGGTATGTTGTGCTTCCTGTCTCATGCAGTTTAACCTGCAACAGGTTCCTCAATCCTGCCATCTCAGGAGCTTGTTTCTGGAGTTTGCGTATATGATTTGCGAAGTGTGGGATGGTGCTGTTGTTCCCTCTGTTCCTGTTTGCGTGGTGTTTTTCTAGCTAATCGAAACCATGATTGGTGTGTTATTGGATTTGGAGCTGGTGTAAACCGATGAGAGGCCGGGTGCAGGGCCACGACTGGCATGCTTCTGAGGATATAAAAGGCAGAGTGTACAATGGCAGATTACAAAGCCTCTTTGTCTCATTACCCCTCTCCTTTAACATTCAATGTCTTTGTAGCTAATTAACGATGGACAAGATGGATTGTTTGCACAGGCTGCGGTTGGGTTCTCTGAACAGCTGCGCAGATAAGGACAGCTCTCAGAGGAGAGGATTAGTTTGAGAATTTGCTCAATGTTCTTATGTGTTGCCTTCTAAAAATCCAAGAAGGAAATTTGCGGTAAAATTTCTTCTCAATACAGGAGACATGAATGGTATGGTAGCTGGTCACAGTGTTATCTAGTGCAGTGTTATCAAAACTTTTTTGTCTTGTTATTATATATACTACTGTTTAAAAGTTTGAGGTTTTAAGTAATACTTTTATCTAGCAAGGATGCATTAAAATGATCAAAAGTGACAGTAAAAAGATTTGAAATGTTACATTTCAAATAAATGCTGTTGTTTTACATTTCTATTCATCAAAGAATTCTGAAAAACATTGAAAATGTCACAGCTTTTACAACAATATTAAGCAACAACTGTTCAACATCAATAATAATGAGAATTTGGTCCCACTTTATATTAGTTGGCCTTAACTATTATATACTTACATCAAAAAAAAATAAGTTCAATGTACTTATTGTGTTTATTTTGTATTGCAAAACACTTTAGCTGCTATTGAGGTGGGATACAGGTGAGGTTATGTGTAGGTTTAAGGGTGGGTTAAGGTGTAAGGGATGGGTCAACATTTGTAATTATAGAAATTAATTACAGATGTAATTACGTGCAGGTATTTTTAAAAATATAATGAAAAACATGTATGTACACAATACGTGCATTGTATCAAATGATTAATATAAATGTAAGTACATAATAGTTAAGGCCACCTAATATTAAGTGGGACCGAGTTTTTTTCCTGAGCAGCAAATCAGCATATTAGTATGATTTCTAAAGGATCATGTGACTGAAGACTGGGGTCATAGCTGCTGAAAACAGTACATTTGAAAATGAATTCAAATAGAAAACACATATTTTGATGTATCTATGTATGTATGTATAGATGTTATTATATATAATTTCACAATATTACAGTTTTTTCTGTATTAAGAGTGTGCAAATTTTCTTGTAAGTGTCTCATCAACTGTCACTTTCTTTTTGTAGAGTTTAAGATTCAGACATGCTGACACAATGTGGCAAGTGTGATTATTGGTTTTATACAATCGTCCTATACAATCAAGAGAATCACTAATGATTAAGTTTAGACACTGGCAAGGCGGATGTTTAGACAGTTAAACAGGCAAAATCACAGTCATGTAAGAAAACACATACTTAAGGTAGCATAACACCGATTTCCCTGCTCAAAAGTGATCTTCAGGTTGTGGAGGCATAGATTGGTGGAGAGCCGGCTGGATGGGCTGTGAAGGGCACGCTGTTGTGATAAGGGTCAGAAACAAGGCTCTGTAGGGCTTGGCAGCAACATGTGTTGACACAAGAATAGAACAACAGACCACAGGCAACAGCACTGGCCCTGCTTGCTGCCACAATGTGCCTTTTGTGTGTTCGTCAGCTTTAGGTCCTCACCTGTGATTCCCAATAGCTCTTTCTTGTGGCATCAATGCATGAACTTTCATCCATTGTAATCTCAGTCAGATTGAGTCATGCCAAGTGTCCTTGTTGCTGCATTTTTGTCAAACCAGTTCCTCCTATAAGAAAGCATCAATGCTGTAATCAATGGCTGTACTTGGCTTTAACCTCTCCCTGTGTAAGGTTAAAAACAACAAGGAAGTACTTAGGTCAAGCCTTTCAGGTCGTGCCATTGTGTTGGACAGAAGCACACAAGCACATCCGACGCTTAGTGAAAAGGCTCGGCTTATGGCATCGCGGCGTTGAAAACAGCAAGGAAAAGCAACCCGGCGAAACAACGAGAACAAGGTGTGGTGCACGGAGGAGAGGGGCATTTCAAACGCATGTGTTTACAGAAAAGGTCACTGGGTTTAATTAGAAGTGTCGACTGAAGCATAGGCTCTGAAGTAGCTGCTTTTTACAGAGAGGCTTCTTTGTCATTATGCAAACCTCAGAGCAGAAGCCTAGATTTAGGATTTTATATAAAGTAGCCGCTGTTTAGCCGTGGACCGCTGGCAACACAGAATGCACAGAGAAAACTTTTTGAAAATGCTTGGGCCAAGATCGCATTTGGAGTCGAAAGGTTTAATTTAAAGGGATAGTTCACCCAAAAATGATCATTCTGTCATCATTTACTCACCTCATGTTGCTCCAAAGCAGTAGGTCTCTGGAATCATTGAAGTAGGCTAGTGGAAAAGTGGAAAGAAAGAGGAGGCTGTTGGTTAAGAATTTTATAATTAAGGATTCTCTGCTCTTATTGGTCGCTTTCCACCTCCCTTATCTTTCATTGCAAAAACAGCACTTTTTCCTGTCTTCTCACATGGAGATCCCACTCACCTCTATTTTTGACACACTTAGATGAATGTTGTGCTTTATTTTTAGCATCTTAAGCCTCAACTTTTTGACCAACTCAAATCTTAACCCTTCGCCTGCCAGGATCCATTGTCGGCATTGCAAACGCTAGTGTCTTTAAGCTTTTTGGCTGAGTGGCAGGTCATTACAGTGCTCTGAGCACTATGTTTACTGGAGTTCCAGCCCGCTCCTATCGCTGCTAATTAGAGTGGAAGAGGTTGAACTGTAATCTTTGTCTTGTTTAAACAGGGTGACCTTTTTCTTTTTCCAGGGGACCGCTTAACAACCCTCTGCCACAGTCCGTTCTCGGCAGTAAGGCCACTTCGTGCTGCTTTCCCACACTTTTGCAAACTGAGGGCGGTCCTGCTGTTTGAGTTCAGCCTGTTGCTCGTTGTCTGTTTTGTGTTTCTGTGTGTGCGCCCCTTTTTTTTTGTTTTGTTGTGAGGTCAAGGTAGAAGAAGAAGAAGAAGAAGAAGTTTTATTTATATAGTGCCTTTCCATAGCTCAAGGTCACTTTACATAGTGCTAAACAAACTAAACAAACACCCATATACACAATACAAAACACATAAGGCCACATTATCCAAAATACATATTAAAAAGATACGTTTTTAGCTGAGTCTTGAATGTAGACAAAGATGGTATATTACGAAGTGTAAGGGGTAGCGAATTCCATAATTTCGGAGCATTAACACTAAATGACCTACCACCTACAGTGGACAGCCGAAAACGAGGAATGGGATGCTATACTATAGTTAATCATATGTGTTATGAAAGGTTCAAACTCAGGAACACACATCTTAATCAAAACAGTAGGTGAAGGATCAATCTGGCAGGATGTAGAATTTGACTTCACAATTAGATCACTTATGGCAGCAGAAGTAGTGAGAGTAAAAGCAGAAAGAGAGTATGTTGTGTGAGCCGAGTCAGTTAACATCAAGTGAACATTTGAGTCAGTTGTATGAGGGGTGTCTTTGGAAATGGATTCAGTGATAGACTTCAATTTGTCTGAAAAGTAATGAGAAAAGTTATTCACAAGCACCTCAGAGCCAGAAATAACATGTTGTGGAGGGTTAGTGAGTTTGTTGACCATAGCAAACAGAGATTTGGGCCTGCACATGGAATTCTTGATAGTAGAAGAGACATATGAGGATCTTGCAGCATTGAGGGCAGTACGGTAATTGAGCAAATGTTCTTTCAAAGCCAATGAGTGCACAGTGAGTCCTGTTTTTCTGTACAGTCTTTCCAAGCGACGTCCCATAGCTTTCATTGCTCGAAGTTCCGGAGTGAACCAAGGTGAAACATGTGCAGATGGAACCAGTCTAGTTTTAACAGGAGCATGTTTCTCAAGTATTTGGGAAATGGTATTATTATAGATGGTGCATATTTCTGATGGACAGTTGGATAATAAACAATCTGACAAGGTAGAAACCCTTATTGAATCAGAAAAAGCAGATGGATCCACAGAACTGATTTTACGATAAGTGAGCATTTTTTTCACAGGCGATGTAAAAATTGGAAAACTAAAACTGAAGTTTAGTAGTTTGTGATCTGAAAAAGCAAAATCAGTTCCACTAACAAGAATATTATATAAGCCAGATGTACATATAAGATCCAATATATGACCCCTGGAGTGAGTAGCAAAAGTTACATGTTGAGTTAGACTGAAACAGTCCAGAACAGACATCAATTCATTGCATTGTACAGTGTTTTCATGTATATTAAAATCACCAAGAAAAATTACAGATGAATAACTAGCACAGACAAGAGTAAGTAACTCACTAATCTCCGAGAAAAAATCTGAATGAAATTTTGGAGGTCGATAAATTAAGATTACAGCCATTGATGTTTTGCTAGTCATTTTCAATACAAGATATTCAAAAGATGCAACTTCATGGAACTCAATCTTAGATATTTTGATACTCTCACGACAAACTACAGCCAACCCTCCACCTCTACGATGGAGACGAGGTTGAGAGAAATAGATGTACCCAGGTGGTGTTAAGAGGTTTAAATTAAAAAAGTCATTGGGCACCTGCCAGGTTTCCGTCAAAAGTAGCATGTCCAGGTTTGCGTCAATGATAATGTCATTTAGCACAGATGCTTTATCAGTTAAAGAGCGAGTGTTCAATAGCGCACATCGCATATCTGAAGATGCAATATTGCAGTTTCCAAGGACATGATCAAAGCGTAATGGTCTTAGATTTCCAAAGTTGATTACACAATTTTCCTGTTGTGTTTTCCTAAAAGCACGGGTGTTGGTACAGATA